TATGAGTATGTTGAGCCCAGGAAACTCGCAGCTGTGACCGAAATAAACATCGTTCACTATGTAAACCAGTGTGGTGGTTGCTGTTGCCTTTTTTCGAACGAAGCAGTAGAGGTCGCTGTTGGATAAGACTTGGTTGTAGTGAATGTCTTCGCGAGGCTGGAGCAGACAAAATGATTTCGTATAACGCAACAGGGGGGTTTTCGTCGTATGGGGGGTAGGAGAATGGGAATTGTGTTAATGCATGAAGATTTTTTCACATAAGGGGGTATTTTCGCCCATGCAGGTTTCGTTCTAGAGGAGTTTCACTGTACAACAAAGAAATTGCGCATGTGGCATTGGTATTCACAGCTACACATGAATAGGGTCCCGAGTATCACGAGCGTGGTGGTGGAGGACCCCAAAAAGCAGGCAAGAGGCCAGGAGGAGCAGGGTGGAACTGACCAAGATGTATTCAACAAAAATACACAAACAGGAGTACACTTGAAAATTACTAACAACCGATGCTCACACAAAGTCCTGGAAATCACAAGGGGCCAAAGTAACAAAAGAAACCTGTGACAAAACGTGACAGGAACAGAGCACACAGACACTCACATACTCTCAACTCACAATAACCCAACAAAGACTGGCTGAACTCAGGGAACTAAATACAAGCAAAGCGATGAGACAACGACAAACACCTGGACAAGTCACGAAGGGTTGAGGGAGCTGATTGTTTAAACACAAGGGACACTGATGACAAGAACAGGTGGCGACAAAAAGGGCACACGAGGAAACAAAACCAAACGTGACCTAAACAGAAACAAAACACCGAGTTCATTAAGTGCTATGCCAATATAGTGGACTTGAGCTCCGGTTCCAATGGGCAAGATGGTCAAGATTGATAGTTATATTCAAACTATTTTATTTTATAGGTGTAAAAGTACCACATCAGCATCAGAAATGTAGTTGGATCACATTGAAATGCACTGCAACAAGGAGGTCAATTAAAAAAAAAAACATTCGGCAGGAGTCAGACGGATCTCATCTCCACAACTGTTGCTTTTCATGAAAACAACAAAAAGGCTTGTTGAGCCATTAATGTTACATCGACAATGAGAGCAAGCCAACACTTGAGATTAGTCGATAGTTTATAAAAATAACAGACCCACGTGGGACTGACCAGTAGTGTGGATTTCGGAAAAAATATTTGGTCAAAGCTGATATTTGGTCAAATGAGGTTTCTACCTGACAGACATTATGAGATATTTAAATTTGATATCAAAAGATGAATATGTGTTAATAGACAAAAGTTGATCTTTTATTTTCAGATGTTTAATTCTATATCTGATATACAGATCGTCTTACGCTGTATTAGGACAGAACACTGAATTTTGGCAGAGAACTTTTAAGACTTGTGTCTGTCCTTTTGGACACATTACAGCCTTGAGAGGTAGCCCTGAAGATTTGGTCTTAACGTCTTCTGTGTTCGATTGTGACACATTCACTTCTGTCCCTTGGAGGTTATGATGATCCCACTAATGACTGTTTAGGATTTTTTTTTGTTTTTTTTTTTTGTTACAGCTCTTACGTGTCTGTCATAGCAGTAGCAGTCAGATGGTTCCCTTCATTAACAGGACATTCCATGTGGTTGTATTGACTCTGACCAAGGTTTGTGATATGGCCAAGTTGAGTTTTGCCATCTTCTCTTAGATTACTTTTCCTGATTGATATGTTGATTTTTTTTTTGTTTTTTAAGGTGGTTAACACCTTGAACCTGTTGAAATGGAGCAAAAGCAAAAAAAAAAAAATTAGCAGAGACATTCAGCACTTTATAGTCTGTGTAATGCAGTATGCAGAAGGACACAGATGTCAGTCACATGTTCCCATACTTTTGCTCACATCAAAAATGGTTGGGTATCACATCCAGACGTAAATACCCAGAAATAAAATCTGAAATGTTAATTTCTTGTTTCATATCGTTTTTTTTATATCAAACCCAGAGGTTTACAGTCTACTCTAAAAAGTACAGGAGTTGGCCTCAACTTTATGGTTATATTTTTTTAATGTGGATGACTACATTATTACACGTCAGCACCAAACCTTCCCAATAAAGAGTGTGGATCTGTGCTTTGCTCTGACAGTTACGGTTGTAGAACTCCCAAAGTAGTGGTCAGTATACGTTTTTGTCCTTGCTACAGAACAGTGGACGAGTTCTACACCTTCACCACAGTTCTGAAGAGAGCAGGGAGTTTCCCGTACCAGTCCACTTGTACTTTGTCAATTTGGAGAAAGCGACTGACTGTGTCCTTCTAAGAGTCCTGTAGGGAGTGCTCAGGGAGTGTTATATCGGACCTGTAATACAGGCTGCTTGGTCCCAGTCGGACCAGTGTCAGAATTTGGTCCGCATTGCTAGCAGTTAGTCGGATTCTAGGTTTTCTCTGGGTACTCCGGTTCCCTCCCACATTCCAAAAACATGCGTGGCAGGTTGATTGAACACTCCAAACTGTCCCTAGGTGTGAGCGCGTATGGTTGTTCATCTCTGTGTGCCCTGTGATTGGCAGGCAACCGGTTCAGGGTGTCCCCCGCCTACTTCCCGAAGACAGCTGGGATAGGCTCCAGCAGCATGCCCCGTGACCCTTGTGAGGATAAATCGGTTCAGGAAATGGATGGATGGATGGATACTTAAGCATTTGTGTAGTTAATTTGTTGGCTATAACAAGGTTAGGTATTAGTTTCTCTATTAGCCAGTCGGTTTAATATATATTTAGTAAGTACTCTGGTCAAACACAAAACGTCCAGCTGTGTTATAAATATTTTTGCTGAGCGCTGCATTTGATTTCATAAATAAATAAAAAAGACCTGAGAGCATATTTCTTTGGAAAACATGAAATGATGCTCTTTGTTTTCTGTCACAGTGACTTAACTAACTGAGACTGTGTAGTCTTAATCGGGATCCCTTGTTTTCAGGCTACAGGCCACCACTAAAACTGCCAGCAGTAAGCTACTGTAGCAGCCAGTAACAAGAAGCTGAGCTCATGCAGGGACCAAGAGATGAGAAAGAGGGCAGTGATGAAGATGGAGAGCAGTTATTACTTGTGGAAAGACATTAGACGACTTGGCCCACACAACCCCTTCAGCTCGCGCTTTCTTGGCGGCCTGTGATTAGAGTTTGCTCCCTGACAGACCTTGAGTCAATGAAAGGGAAAGACAATGAGGAGGGAACAAGAAAGGATTTGGTGCTCCCCCTCCCATGACCTTTGGCCGTTTGAAGATATAAAAACAGGCATTAACCTACAGTTCGATACGGCTGAGATATATTTTAACGGGAATAGATCGAACATTTACAGCTGTTTGAGAAACATACCGTCATGCACTACTGAAGGGCTGAGAGAAATCTGCAATAAATCCACTCAAAAAGTCCACTCAAAGTAACAAAAAAAACCCAACAACAACAACAACAACGACTCTACACCCGCAATTTATGTTAAAAAACAAGCGTATTTCATTTAGTCTTTTTTTTTTTTTTGGTCACAGAATTTGTCTTGCATATTTAGGAAACCTACAAATATTCACCCTATTTCTTTTCGTACACAGGTCACAGTTATAATGGAGCTGGGCATCGGTATTCTTGTCAGCTATGATACAAGTGGGTATTCAACTGTTCCTGTTGACTGACTTCCTGATGTACTGCATGCTGTACATTCGGGAGCAATATTTTGCTCTCGTAGAGGGACCACACACACACACACACACACACACACACACACACACACACACACACACACACACACACACACACACACACACACATCGGATTAAAATGTGTCTGCTACGATTCCCTTTGACATAGTCATCCCCTGGTTTGAGTCACATGTCCATGACTTGCAATAGTACTAGAAAGGAAACTTAAAACAAAAAACCACGTTTCAGTTCAGAGGTAAACTCATAAACCTTCTTTATGAAATCATATAAAAATCCAAAATGCTTTTCAACGGCATGGACCATAAGTGTTTATAGTTTGCTTGCGTTCACAAGAGCCGAGGCAACTTCTGGTCTTGGGCAAAATTACCATTCTTACTTCTTACTGATTTTCTGAAAGGCCAAAATGAATTGTTAAATTTCATTCCTATGATCCCAAACTGGCAATGAGCTCTTGTGGTGCTTTTGGAAAATCTCCTGTGGGATGAATCTTAAGAAAACTCAATACAAGTCAATTTTCTTGTTCAAGAATATCACAATTGAGGGGACTGATTTTCAAACCCAGAAGTTTCACGGCTCAGACTGGCCCACTTTAGTTCACGTTATAATGAAGACACCCAATATTACACTTATGATTGTATCATTATGAAATAGATTGCCATCCCCTCCAGCGATATTCAAATTGCATTTGATCAAAAATCCAATTTACAACAGAGTCTGCTGACAAGATCGCGATCAGTGTTTACTTGAAGTATGAGTACATAAATAGTTAAAATGGGCAAAGGGAAAAAAAAATGTGCAAGGTACAATGAACCTGTATCTTAACCTCTTGTCATTGATACAACAGAACAATAAAAGCTTTGCCGTCAACTGGTCAAGATTTAACATTGAGTAAAGTACATTTATGTATATAGATGTTATTGGGGACAGTTTTGTTTGGTGGTTTATTTACAGAATTGCTGCTCTACTCTTGCTCTTGTGCAGAGGGAAGCTCGTGGAGTCACTTCATCAAAGGGTGATTGAACCAGGATAATAATTAAAAAATGAGAAGTGGCACTAATGAGGCAAGCCAAATAATGACTGAGTCAAAACCTAACAGATTAAAGCAATGTCAAATAAATGCATAATGGTCTTTGTCTGATGACATGAAAGACCAATTTGTGGAAGGTACCTCTGATAGTTTCAGCACAAGATGAGCTAGCTCCCTGGGCTGAGTGAATATCAATTACGGCATGACCTCATTCAGTCTTTTATGACACACGGCCACCTGAACCACTCTTTAGGCCCACTGGATGACTTTCTAATTACGTTCCATTTACCTCTTCTCTGGTGTGGTTTCATTCTCTTTGCTTGCTGGCGCTTCCTGTAGGTCAGGGAGGTTAGCGAAGTCATCTTGTTCAGCCAGTCCAATTGCTAGGGACAGAACAACCATCTTCCCCTCACTGGACACAGACGCCACATAAACCAACATAAAAAAAAAAACCACACCCAAAGATCATTTTAGGGTACAGAAACAGAGTGACAGAATGTTGTGAGACTCATTGTAATGTTTGCATTTTAGAGCACCTTCATCTCTGCGTACTGTGGAAAAAGTGACTGGAGGGAGCGTGAAGCAGTTTTGTTCCGAAGAAGAACACTGTCTTTATGAAGTAATTAACGTTAAAACTACAGTAATATCTTTTATTGCTATACATGCATATGCATTTTCTTCCTAATAAAATACATATTTTGCTTTCCTGTGAAGATTGAATATTTAGTATAAGCGTTGTTTACCTAGAATTACTTTTAAAATGTGTGTTGATGGAGTCGACCAACTGTTCGAACTGTGGACTGCTATTGCATCTTAGGCGGATTGGACGACATTTCATAATTTCTTTTTATTTTTTGCCTATGTGAAGCCAAGCTATCGGGCAAGAAGGCCCTGTAAAATTGCATTCTTAAATTAACAACCACGCTCAAGGCATAATTTGTCGAAGATCGCAGTGGCCGGGTCAAAGGCGAAAATGGCTCAATATTTTGTGGACTGATGAAAGCAAGTTTGTTCTTTTTAGGCTGCAAGTCAGTAGATAGTTCGTCAGACGAGCCCCAACCTCTGCAAAATCACAGAGTCACTTGGAAGACACTGGAGCATGGTTGTGCAATGATGTGGGGACCCGTTTAAGACCATGGTGTTATATATACTGTATATCACGAGTGCAGGACATAATCTTCAAACTTCAAAAATCCTCACTGTAACCCCCAAAACAGCATATTTCTTCAACCATTAACACTGCATCGTCAAAGAGAGCAAGCCAGTTTCAACACTTAATATTGGTGAATAATTTGTAAAATCAACACCCACACATGCGGACTGATCAATAGTAAAGATTTGTGGAAAAAAAACTATCAAATTGTGAAATTGGAGCTTTAGGCCTCATGGGTTGAAAAGGATTTGCAAATCATTGTATTCTGTTTTGATTTTACACAACATTCCTACTGCAGTGGAATTGGGGTTTGTATATCCAAGTGTGTGTGTGTGTGTGTGTGTGTGTGTGTGTGTGTTTGTGTGTGTGCGTGCGTGCGGATTGAGATGTTTTTTTTTTTTTTGGAAGGAATGTGATTTGTTAATTCTGAACACAGACACATCCCAGTCACAAGAATTTGTGAGCAGGCATGCAATATTATTTTGGTTGTTTTTACTTGCCCACCCACTGATTCTATTTACACTACGTGGCAGTACATGATTGTATCTTTAAAAAAAAGCTTGGAGTATTTTTATAGCCATGTTTACCAATTTGGAGGAGACACAAAGGCTTTCTCCCGCTATACACAAAACTATCACCATGTTGTAAACACCTTTGAAAAGATTGAGCTGACCTTTTCCCCAGTCAAACATAATGCCACACACTGTCAGATCATTTTCTTAACCACTTTGATGATACACAAGCTTTGTTTTTTAGGCTGGTATTTCTTTTATGTTATGTTGTCAGCAACTTTTCACTGTGTTGTAAATTACAAGACCAGTTTACTTAAAGTACAGTCTTTGTTTGTATTTGTACATTTTCCACCGATCATGCTTCTCCATGCATCATCACAGAGAAAACAGTATCTTAGTATCAATTTTTTCATTAGATTAGATTTTTTGGTTATTTCACATTCATTCATCCGTTATCAACATGACTTAGTCTGTTCTGGGTCGTGGCAGTGGATGGAATGTAATCCATATGATTGAAGAGCTGTTACACGAGTTTCTTTTGAATAAGAACAGATGAAAAACTGTCATTTGTTTTCTTTTTTTTTTCTTTTTCACAAGAGCATTTTAGAGGGCAAAACCGAACATTGGTATCTGTGTAAATGCTAAGGCGCATCTTTTCTAAAACAGGACTCGCCTGTGAGCGAGCACGTCACATTCAGTCATGGATATCGAAACACACGACTGTTGTGTGTGCAATGATCAAGATAATGAGCTTGATAAAGCTCCTCCAGCAAACTGTACTATCGGCCCATTTTCAGTTTGTAAACAAAGACGACATTATCAGGATGTACGCACATTGTTGAAGCAGAAAGAACAGCGGGGTTCGTTAATATGTACACAAGCTGACTAACAGTAAAAGATGGCGCAAATTACTTTAAAACACTAATGTTGCCAGATAGAAAGCAACTTTCCGATGTTTATGGGATTACAGAGTGGGAGCAAGATGTTACAAAGTGGTCCCAAGTGCAGTGGGGAGATATTCATCTTTATTTAGTGGAGAAACCTCGGGTTTACACTTAGAGAGACAACTGCGAGCCAACAGAAAGGAGATTTTTCTCCTCACAGCTAACTATTTGCATGGCAGGGCGAGTAATGTAGCCAGCTCGTCCGCTAGTTCATTTTGTTGCTTGTTACATCATATAAAAGGGAACTGAGAATCGTGTTACCTGTTGTGACAACGATCTCAATGGGACCACATTGTAGGGCTACTTTTCCTGAAGTGTTCTGGGATGGAAAAATGTTACTGCTTGCTCCGATTTGTACACTTGTATTCACAACTGCTAGGCATGTTGATATTTTTGGAAACACTGCCAGACCCAGAGGTTTTGGTGCTCCTTAATGTTGCCAGTGGTGTCATCTTTTTGGGACATTAGTCCAAAACTGACGACATGAACATCTCTGTACTTGCACATTGGGGCCATTACCTGGGGATCAGGATCCAAGGACGTTTGCTTTTGTCAGGTTTCAACAATCCTTCGAAAATGTCCAAGACAAATATCAGCATAGTGAGCGATCGCCCGACTGGTGAACTCTTTTTCTGGGTGATTCACATTTACATAAAACTATCGGAACACCTCATGGTCCGAGGGGCGAATGATGAAGACACCGCATGGCGCATAGAAACATACAGTGTCTATCTATACCGGTGGTTCTTAAACTGGGTTCGGTCGAACCCCAGGGGTTCGGTGAATCGGTATCAGGGATTCGACAGAGCCTCTATCATGGACGTTAAGACACAGCCGACTCAACATGTCAATTAGTTATGTTAACATGCCCATTTGGCCATCACTGGCTGGCGATGATCACATTACAATGCTTGTCCAATCAGTGTTGCAGGAAATTTAGTTCGCTCAGTAGTCAACGTGTGACTGTCGTTATAGTACGTCATACAATAACAATTTTAAAAAACGTATACTTATGCTTGAAATTGTATTGACTTTTTTTCTGTTTTTAATCAATGCGTTATGTCTTGAATTTGTAAAAATTCATATTTTTGTGTTTCACTAACGAAGGGTTCGGTGAATGTGCATGTGAACTGGTTGGGTTCAGTACCTCCAACAAGAATAAGAACCACTGATCTACACACATTGACACATACGGTAGAAGTCCCTCTTAGCCAGTGGGATGCCAGGTTGAAGCTTGGTAATAGCCAGAGCAGCTATAAGTATGTTGCATTCAGGAAACTCGGTGCTGCGAGTCCCAAGCCACACTGTATTTTTACCTTTCGTCTCTTGAAATTTATTTCATAACAAGAGGCAATATTTTCCTGTTGAGATGTTTCGCAACTTCAAAATTTCGTATGAAGAGATGTCCGTAAGTAGAGGTACCACTTCCTGAAAATGGTTGGTGTGTGATCATAGGTGGAAGAACCAGGGGGCACTGAGGGCACACCTTCCACCGCAGCCCCACTGAAGATTTAAGAGTGGAGTGACAGAAAATAAGAAAAGAGAGGACAGAGGGACAAAAAACCTGGTGAAGACAGGACACCAGTTCTAGGGCCAATGAACAAAAGCATTTAAGGAATACTACAACGTCACATTGGAGTCAATGGACAGGAGTGAGGCAGTGCATTTATGCTGCCACCTACGAATGAACAGTGTCACCCTACAACAGCATGATTAATGTGGTAGAAGCAAGTATTTGGATGCCTGGTCATAAATGAAAGAAAAGAAGAGAAACAATGCTTCAAATGCTGTAAATGTAATTTTTACTATTTGGCAGAAAACTGGAATGATGCAGCACATTATTCATTCATTAACATGTTAAATCGTCATCATTTATTTGAGTTCTGAAAACTAGTTTTAGTGGTTGAATGTTATACTTGATTAATTTCTGATTCCTCAGAGAAGCTCAGTGAGCCAGATCACATTTGAGTATGAATAGATACATGAATAGATTGTCCAGGTATTCAGTTTGAAGATCCTCATTCCTGCGAAAAATGGTGAAACGTCGAGAGCTCACTGAAATTCAAAGTATGCCTCAAGTAGGGTTGTCATTATAATATGAAAATTCTGCACATACCTTAGCGTGTGGACCGAACAGAATAAACGTCTATGGAACAGACTAAGAATAATAAACCTTCTTGAACATTTTCTTTGCACCTGACTTACGCTATGCACATTTATAGACTTTCCTGTGTGCATACCAGCACAATAATGTAAGAACAGAATTGGGCCTTCCATTAACTATTCCAAAGGTTGAATAGAATATCATATTTATGTTTCGGTTGTGCTATTGTGAGGTTGTTTTTTGTTTTTGTTTTTATTTTGCATCATTTTGCATTTCCCCAGTCCATTTACACTATTCAAATTCCTTGCTAAACAGGAGGCATTTGTTTGAAATATTGACAACGAGAAAACACATTAGCACTTGCGACACAGTGGCCCACTGGGGAGTTGTAAACAGTACCAGCACGCGGCTATCAATAAGGGAAATGGATCTGTACAGATCACCACAAATGGCACGTGCACTCCAACCGGAGGTGCGGCAATCATTAACACAAAATCAATTCTATTGATTAAAAAAGAAATTGTGAGGCTCATTGTTGCATGGCAAACCTGGAGTCACTTGGTTATTCTGCCACATTTGGTTAGTCACACAGTCCTGACCACGGTGGAACTTCCCAAAACCACGGTGCGTCTGCTCCGCAGGCTAACTGATGTGTTAGACCAAACGAGATCCAGGGACAAAGGGACGGACCACCTCCATATGCACTGAATATGTGGCCAGCATTACTTGAACAATGATTTACACAGGCAGGGAGGTCACTGGCCTCAAGACACTGCTCATATAAGATGTTCAGGAGGTACAGCAGCACAGAGCCCATGCGCGTGTTTATGCTTCTATTCATGGTTAGTGGAGGAATGGCATTTTTGTAATGCTGCTTCGTGGAGCGTATCCGCCGTAATCTGTCAGTGTGAGGGAATGGAGTGTCTCGGTGCTCAGTATTCTGAACTATCAGAAGCTTGAAAACGTGTACAATAACAATGGTATTATATTTCTTGACTCTCGAGGTCTGGAGTTCAGGGTACTGTCACAACAGCACTTACAAGAATGACTTGACGTCCAGGCCTCTGTTGCGGATCTGTTCCATCATGTGGTCCCAGCTGCCTGGATTTGACCTGGAGCGGCCCGCCCCACCCCCTCTGTACCGGGAGGCTCCAGCCGTACTACCCCGGACCCCTCGAGGGCCACCACGGTGGCCCCCAGCACCTGGGCCTGTGTGCAGTTGGCCCAGGCTCTGTGAGGTGACTGGGGGGTCGTTCGGACCCGGAGGGGGCTGGTGGGTGAGGGGCTGTTGGAGGCTTTGTTGTCGGACTAGAGGTCGGGGGCGCGCCACAGCTGAGGATGGGATGTGCTCCAGTGTGGAGGTAGTTGAGAGGGAGGCGTCTCCAAAACTGAGCGGAAACACAAGAGACATATGATCAATAAAACAAGGTTGATTGAATTTGTGATGGTGCCAAAAAACAAAAGAAAACATGTGGCATAAAAATTTAAAAAGCAATGGTGAGAAAAAGAACATGTGACTGTTACTGTAGGAGTAATAGGTCACAGCTCAGCTCACATCTGTGTGAAATGATAACACTGCGACATTGTGTAGAAACTTCAAGGCTGTGCACGAATTGGTGGTGATTCAAATTGAGATGCAAATTGGCCATTAAAAAAAAAAAAAAAGAAAAAAAAAAGCCAAATCAGAATTTTCAGATTGCGGTGAAAATTAATCAAAGCATATTGTTGTGTGTACTGATGCCACAGGAATAAGTGAATGGCTATGCAAGTGACACATGGAGGTATGTGGTGTTTGCTTGTGTACAGCAATGAGTATTTACTTTGGGTCACAGATGAGCATTTCTGGTGACACTCTTCCATATATAGTCAATGCGATCCGTTTGAAGCAATCCGGTGTATATTCACCCCCGTGAACAAGCGCAAGCTAGACACGCGGTGTGTGCTTCCACCAGTCATCAGTTAAACGGGAATCCGTCAGTGATGGACTGATGGACCTTCCGTCAGTACAGATGGAATGCCCATCTCTGCTCACAACCATTCACACGCACACGTTTTGACAGTTTAGAGTGTTAACGTCATGATCCGATTTCTCTGCCTGTATATTTCTGCTGTAAGGGCAAACAGGTGGGTTCATTAGCACGACAGAGGCAGAAGGAAGATGGCGGATGATTGCATTACTTGCCATCATTTGCCATTCTACAAAGTAGTAAATTCACATGGCTGTTCAAAGTTCAGACTTTGGGGACTTTATTAAGCCGCCTTTTGTTTCCCCGTCTTCATGAAAGTAAGCACTTCTGGTGTTTAGCTCTGTTAGGTTTCTAGTTTAGTGTAACCTAGATTCTCTTTGCGTATTTCTTCAATGGTGACTTCCTTCCACTGTGACTCTCCATCTCTCTGAGTTAAAAGTATACTGCCGCATGCCATCCATGCATTATCTCAGAGTGGTGCCAAAAGAAACTTAAATAACTAAACGGAGTGTTCAATGCACATCTAACGTTTTTAATCTTTCTCTAATGAGACTTGACCTGTGCTCTCTGATTCTGTCTTTCCCTGCCACTTTGTTCCCAACTTGACATTTTCAGTCCTTCCCTCCTTCAGACTGCTTGTGCTCAGCTCGCACTCTGTGAATTCATATTTTCTTCATTATTCAGCCTCTCCCCAGTCTCACTCTATTTCTCTTCCATCCAGAGTCACCATTCTTTAAATTCCAACCAGTTGATTACGCTTAAAATCATGGAAACGTACTTCTGCCGCTATCCTCTCCTCAATCACCGTTGTCTGCTGTTTATAAGCTTGTAACTCGTAAAGCGGTGTAAACAACCCTGTCTTGAGCTAATGCTGTGCAGGATTTACCGCTTGAACTGTGTTTTTCAGTGCTTTGCAAGAATTAACTCTGCTTGAACTCTGTTGGAAAGGCAGGAGATGAACACACAGAGGAGAAAAGCATTGCTGGATCAACTCAGAGTGGACAACAACTTAATATACGATGCCTGCATTCATGTAATGATGCGGGCTCTACATAGGCACCCAAACTTTTTGATTGCATTGAATGTGAGTGCAGACCTTGATGACAACATTATGTTTGACGTGAATAATGTCAATTTACAATTGCGGGGTTTCTATTGGTGCGAATAATGTAAAGAGCTGTGTAGAGGTGACATTGGAAGTTAGGCCGATGGAATACAACTCAGAATGAACCTTTGCTTGTCAATATATCAGATTGTTTTGGAATGTGCATTAGATCTTTCACTAAGATCCTGAAATGAGGAATGTGACTGTGAAGTGCAAAAAAGTGCAACATTTGACAGGGAGAGTGTTGTTGGGTTGTTGAAGGAATTCAGCAACTTTAAAGCATTGTCTTGTGGACTTTTCTCTTTTATTGCACACATTATTTCCTGATTCCATGATCTTCCTTCGCAACAATATTTGAAAAGAAGAAAAATATGAGCAATGAATTTACTGATTTTGAAAGTACAGTCGACCCCTGCTATTTGTTTGGGATAAGGACTGGACCGACTTGTGAATCGTGAAAATCAGCGTATAATTGACGCCCATTGAAATGCATTGGATAAGAAAATAAATAAATAAAATTAAATCCTCCAATTTCTTCTCGTATATACTGTATCTATAAAAGTGAGAAGCAAAAAGTTCAAATCCCCAAATTCTTCTTGCATTTACTGGACAGTATATATAAAAATGAGAGGCAACACAGTGCCTCACACTACAGAGGTCCCAGATTCAAATCCACGCTTCGGCCTTTCTGTTTGGAGCTTGCATGTTCTCCCCCTGTCCCTGCGTGGGTTTTCCTCGACCAGTTCAAGTTGTATCTCGCCTACTGCCCAAAGACAGCTGGGATAGGCTCCAGTGTGCTTGTGAGGATGATAAAAGCTTAGAATGAGTCAACGACTTGCGTGGTCCTTTGTCCCAGGTAGAGTTACCACAACCTTTGTGACGTTTTTAATGTCACGCAGAGTTGTACAGTTTTTTAAAAAATATTATTTTGCGGCGTGATGATGTTAATAAGAGGTGGATTAGGTCACATAAATACTCATTGAAGGCCCAACTTTGAAAGTCACGGGGGGCGACTGGTGTTTATTTTGACTTCCAGAACTGCTGCACGTTCAGCATAAATAAAGCCAATTCTTTCTACTCCATCCGCTTTTATTCTTGCCTGAAAGTCAATTAGGGTAACTGTAAACCTTGAATGATTTTGTAATTAACGGAAACCGAAGAGTGTGAAAACCAGAAAAAAGTGAAATATACAACAATGCAGAGGAAAATAGAGGAGAAGTGAGAAGTAAATAGAAACATGTCCTGGCTGAGTAAATAGAAATACTCCAAAAAAAATCAAGATAAATTATTTCTTGAGTTATCAGATTTAATTTTTGTGTCATAGGCTGTTTGAACATTAGCAAATGATAGCTGACTGAGCCCATATCGATACAGCTAAACTGGAATGAAATATGTTCTATGAGGGTCATTTGATGTCCGGAGGACTTTGCTGCTTGACTTGGGAAAATCAGGGCAGTGAGCTACTTCTGTCGGTCTTCTGAATATTACATTGGCAATACCTTGCCAGTGTAATATTGCTAATTGTGTATTACAATATCGCTAATACTGCTAATTAGTTTGACATCTAATTAACAAAGACACACCCTTTTTCTTGTCACACTGAAATTTTGAGCATGCTCAAAATTTGATGCTGACAAGAAAAACAGTTTACAGCCATTAAAACTGTTTGGGAATGTCTGGCCAAAGTCTGCAACTGATTGCAAGTGTTTGCAACGCTGAATGAACCGTGACGCCCCCCCAAAAAAACAAAACAAACAAAAAAAAACATTTATTAGGTGCGCACACGCTTACAAACCTTTGCCACTCAGGCTTAAGTGTACACCAAACTGCGATTCCAAAACACTTTATCATTTCAGACTTATCTTACACTGGTGTGCACAGTATACATCGCAACCCACAAAAACACCAATTGCTATTTTCCTATTAGCTGTTTTATTACGCTTTTGACTCTGACCTATGTACCTAATGTTGAGCTGCTTGCGAGCATTTTTCTGATTGGTAAATTGCAAATTGGTGGGGCTTCACTGTACTTTATATGGTGGGGACAATCTGGGTTCTTGTGTCAGGCCAGCTTTAATTTTTGAGGATGCTTTAATATGTGAGGCATGATTCTAGAGTCCTGCACAATGAGCAATAAACATGTAGCCATTATTAGTCACATTGTTGGGCATAGAATATTTACTGCTGTAATAATGGTGACCACGCTCTGGGATTCATACTAGTTACATATTTGTGATGAGGGAAATCCTCCAAGCTCGGGCAGTTTCTGCTCCCATCTGAGTAAAAGCAAACACAAAAGTGTCAACATTAAAGAGCAACCGGTTATGAGTCTGAGTAAGACGGCTTCAATGACTTCGCATTTCGCCCAATTTCCCCAAATATAATTTAAACATGCAGGATAACACTCATCTGCACACGTTGCCAATAAAATCTTTTTGATGTCTGCTGAATATAGTTAAATGCAGGAGAAAGACGAGATGATTGCTCTTAGCAAATAGAGTGGCTCTTATAAGACAAAATTGCGAGAAAAAAAAATCCTGATCAACAGAGAAATTAGATTAAATCAGGCTGCATTCACCATGTTCAAGAAAAGAATTTCATTTGTGTAAATGACCTAATAAAATATCTCCCCTGCCGTTTTATGCAGCAGCCTACATGGAATTAAAAAACAAAAAAAATGAGGGGATGAGCAATTTTGACGATTTCCACCGAGCCAGTGTTTTCATTGATAGCCATGAAATTGTCACCGCCTAAAATTAGAGCCTGCAGAGTAACAGTTTGACTGGGCCGGACAGACAGCGTGTTTTACTTTCCACACTTCCAGTGGCTTTAACCAAACAGCTACTAGAGCATCAGTGCCACACAGTGCAAGACAGCTGGCTTCCTCCGAGCACTTTCCTTTTCACAAATTTAATTCACAAACGTACTCGAAATGACAAATTTGTCGTATACATAAATTGTTCCCAATAGGGATGAGTATTTGAACAATGGAAGAAGAAAGTTTGAACAGTTGCTTTGGAATTCAAGTTTACTTTGGAGCAAAAGTTGTGACCTTTTTTTTTTCTTAATCTTGCATTACTCAAATACTCCTTATAATTAAAAAAAAGCTATACTAAAACAAACAAAAACTAAACATAAATGGAGCATACAAATACAAAAAAACAACAAATAATAACAAAGAAACTCTACAGAAATATTATAATTGAATTTTATTTTAAAAAAAGAAAACAAAACAAAACAACAATGTCAAAACAAAATGAAAAGTACCTTTCATGAAAAATGCAAAGCTATTAGAACCTTGCACCGAACACCCCAAAGATCCAGACATAACCATAACGCTATATATAAAATTCCACATTGCGGAAAAGCTCACAAGTTGAATCAATTCGTCATGCCCCCTTCAGTTTCCACTTCCACCATCACCCAGCGGGACTTACTTGCTAAAGCGCAGGCCTCCCGCGTGCATGTGGCTCTGGACCGTGTGCCAACGTCCAGCCCTGCTGCCCCCAGTCAGCATGCTTCGAATGCTGTCACTGCGACTGGGCCCTGCCCCAGCCCCAGAGCAAGCACCGACCCTGCTGTCACTGGCCCCCGGCGAGGGTCCAGCTCCGCCCTGCCCACTCTTATCCACAGCCCCACTGAGACGGACAAACACGAGGGAAGGATCAAGAGAGGATACGAACGAAGACAAAATACGGACGAACGGCATAAGGACAAAGTTGGAGAGCAGTAAGTGTTATGTCCGAGATTGTCCAAGGCAAAATATAACCACAACTGTTCAACCGACAGCTGATTAGCCACTTTCTTCGATGGGCACTTAGAAGTAGTCCCAATGATGGTGGCAAAAAAAAAAAATGATTGGCAATGGTTGTATCTTTTCATTGTTGACAATTCATCAAGAAAATTTGTAGCGCTGTCAAAGGACCTACTAAACCTAACCCATTTTATTAGCGTGGATGCATTTTGAGGGCACCAAAGAAGAACAGTCGTTTCCCGTCAACACCACAAATCATGATTTAAAAAAAAAAAAAAAACAACACTCATTTTGCAAGAGTAAAATGTTTTCTGGAATAAAAGTCCTACGACAAGAAGTGCCCTCGCACCAAATTTGAGCCACAAATTTAAGGAGACAGAACATCAGCACAGGGACCTTCCACAGAGTGAAGACATACCACAAGACTAAACCAGGACATCCTTTGTGACAACATTTAGACAACAAGTGAAGACTGAGGGTAAAATAAACAGACTGCAGGTATTCTCCACTGCGTAATTTTTAGTGTCGTAAAATGCCAGCAGATTTTTCCCAACTGTGTGCTGGGTCAACATCCTAAAATGCTGCTAATATTAAAATAATTGTATCAATAAAGCATGTTCTCGTGAGGATTGCACAGCAATTGCGCTGGAAAAAAAAAAGAAAAAAAAAAGAAGAAAGAGCATTTTTATCATCAGTATGGCTGCAGTGTTTGTGGATTATGGTATGTTGCTTCAGTACTTTGCAGTCATTGGTAGTTATTTTTTTCACCATTGCTTTCACAAATGTACCTTCAAGTGCTTTAACGCTTTTACCGTTTTGAACAGCAACGACAAATTCAGACCACTGGACTTCTCTGGGAAGTCAGGAATGAATGTAATATCGATTTCAGCCACGGAAAGTGTCAGGCTCCAGAAGGTTCCGGACAGGAGTGGACTCTACAAACGTAGACTCAGATAAGATGTACAAAAAAATATTTATTTACAGAAAAAGTGGTGTGAAGCCGACACAGAGAGAAACAAAAAGTGCCTGCAAAAGGCAAAGAAAGAACAAAAGGAAATTGCCTGTCTCAAAAGGACGAGAACCGAATCCCGACAAATACCAACCGAGAATAACTTAAACAAAATGACTACTTACAAGAAAACGGAGCGCAATAAACGAGGAACGAGAACAATGGAGCAAAATCTGGAAATTCCAGTTCCTCGAGAGCTTGTTTTGATTTTCTTGTTGATTGGCTTTTCCTTGTCTTTTCTTGACAAGTGATTTTGCGTTATACGTTTCCCTTGCCGTTCGCAGGTGCTTTTGCTTCGTCTCTTGTTCTTATTCTAGTTATTTGTTACCAGCCTTTTATGTTGTACTTTGTCGGTCTCGCACCCTTATTTTGTCAATAAACCATTTTCGTATTCAATCTTGTCTTGGGCTGCGTTTGTGTGATCCACTCCTGTTTCGAACTGGACCGGAAACAACAATTTTATACTGGTGAGATGTATAAGGTGCATCTAACCGATTATGATGTACATGCCTTTGACAGTCAAGCTAAGAGTTTTTGTTTTACATTAAACAATGGCTCGACTATTGTATCCCCTTGATAGTTTAAATGGTTTTTAAAGTGCAAGAATAGTTCATAACATTCTTAGGATGGCAGGTAATACCCATTATTTGTTGTTGTTGTTTTTTTTTTTTTAAATTTGATTGTGTTCTACTTTGGAGGTTTCACTGCATACTGTAGATGGAGTGACAGGAACAGGGCAAAGAAATGGCTCAGGCGAGGTTTATGTTTCCTAAAAGGACCAACAGTTCTGGGTGTTGACAGTATGAGTTCTGGCAAATAGTGAGCAAACACAGAGTGGGAGGAAGAAGGTGTGAGAAGGGTAAGATTGGACATGATGCTACTCAACCGCAAAACAACAACTCTGACAAAAGTACCACCCCATGCAAAATAACACTGAAAGGTTCATTCAGAAGTACAGTAAATAACAGTCAGTCCAACACAGGCATTCAAAAACAATGAATGACTGCAGAGTTAAACAATTGGCGCAGTTGCTAAAAAGGTTGGTTTTTATTCTGTGAGGGACCCCACGTAACGCTTCGCACAGACTGCAGATGAAAGATGATGCAAGTCTAATGAGACAAGTGCAGCTAAAAGGAATGAGGCAATCAAATGTACCACCTTGATTGCAAAAGTTCATTCCGAGACTTGATGGCCACTCTCAAACAATGGAATATTGACATCAATATGCAGTTTAGATAATGTACACCCTTGTTTCCCTGAAAAAATAAAGCACAATCTTCAGACATAATTTGCACAGCGGTTGTAATTTCTACCCACATCAGTGCGGTTCTGAAATTCAAAGCAATATTGAAGGGAAGAAGCCAGTGCACGTCTTTATCAGGAGCTGCATGGCCGGCAGTGCATACTAAACACCACCACACTGTGGACATGCATGAATGAAAAACATGAGGATTACCAGGGATAAGGGGAGACATGGTAAAATATAGGATGTGCGCCAGCATGAATACAAGTCAAGATGTTCTATCCTATTTCTTCGGCAGTCAGATATGGTCTTTTCATATCTGTTAATCGCTGAAAAGCCTTGGGTTCCGAGTACATTGGTGCGAAGCTTCAATCAATGATCAACACAAAGGTGTTTCCTTGCCCCCTTCCATCCCGCTCCAACATGATAGAGACATCTTGTACCTCAATTGCACTGACTGAGACTCACTTGGATGTGAGGCGAGGGTCTCCATAGGGGGCGTAGGGAGACATGTTTAAGAGAAACTCCTTAGGTGGGTAGGAGCTCCACCTCTGTTGCACATTGCTGCTGTCATTGTTATTCCAAAAGTCTCTGTCAAGATCGCTGCAGTCAGAGAGAGTGTTAAAGACATTTAAACAACGCAAGACATGCCACATAAACACATCAACATACACAGTCAGATCTTACTGCAATACAATGCATTGTTCACACATTTTCCATAAGTCTTGTGTGCATTTGGAAAAAAAAATACAGGCTTGCTGTACCAGTTAGCATGCTCAAAAATTTGCATTTTACTCAGAAACCCTGTGCGACACACAGTGCCATAAATCATTTCCATGTGTCCCCCCCATCTACAAATTTCCCGTCACCTACTTGATGGCTTTATTTTCCCCTCGACCTCTCACAGACTCTGGAGAATTGGCAGCTTCCACTCCAGCCTTATTCCTCTTCCCCTGTGCACAGACAAGGTAGCGAGTGATGAGGGATGGTTTGGATGATATATTACATGTACAGTTATTGTTCTGTCAAAGGGACACTTGTTTTCAGTGAATAGTTTTATTCGGTAAAAACATTCTTTGGGTCATTTACACCGAATAAATGTGCAGTAATCCCTCGTTTACCGAGGGGTTACGTTCCAAAAAGAACCCATGATAAGTGAAATCCGTGAAGTAGGATTTATTAAAAAAAAGCAAAAAAATGTGAGAGGGAAGAAATTTCAATTTGAAAATAAAGTTGTACTTGATACTTGATAGTCAGCTTTATTTTTTACAGTTATTATACAATACTGAACTATGTATATTTTTGGTCGTTGGTTTCATTGTACCAAAGACCAAAAATTTGCAAAGGTAAATTTGGCAAGCTCTACAGAGACGAGGTGCGGAGACAGTTCACGTTGGTCAGTCCCTTAGCCAATCAGGATGCAGAACACAATTCACTGTTTAAAAAAAAAAAAAGCATAAAAAACTGCTGTTATGTTGATTAGGACTTGAAAACACTACAGGATCAAAGCTTGAGGTCTCCCCAAGTTCCAGTTCAAATTTGACAATTGTAAAATGTTGGGCACCATTCAAATCTCCAGAAACTCAGCTTTTAAAAGATGCGCGCTCACACTCACATCTAGGGACAATTTAGAGGGTTCAATCAGCCTGCCATGCATGTTTTTGGAATGTGGGAGGAAACCAGAGTACCCGGAGGAAACCCCCGCAGGCCTGGGGAGAACATGCAAAGCCGGGATCGAACTCACGACCTCTGCACTGTGAGGTCGACGCGCTAACCACTGGACCACCCTAAATCGTACATTAATAGTTAAATAATACTTAGAAATATGATTTAAATAAAATACTAGCGTACACACGTTCAAAGCGCAGATAATCTCGAGGATACGCCATAATCACTCTTCAAGTTCTGCACCGTAAATCATAATGCAAAATATCATCACTACTATGTATACATTCATCAAGTGCTAATTAGCAGGTATATGTCGTCTGATAATGTTAGAGCTTTACTCGATTTGAACTTCTTTAGGCAAGATTTAAGTCTGACCACTCTCCTAACACTTCCCTTGCAAAAGTGACGACTGATCTCTACTTGTTTGGACTCTGACACCTCATCAATCGTATTATTACTGACTCTTAATTGGTGCTGCCTTTGACACCATTGATGATAATACGCAACATGTAATTTACAGCAGTGTGACTTCTGAGCTTTGTAATGTCACATGTGGAGTCCTGCAGGGATAGGTATTTGGCCCTTTATTGTTTAAGATCAACATGCTTCCGCTTGGTGATATTATACAAAAATTTAACATTACAGTAGTTTTCACTGTTATGCTGATGATATTCAATTATATATGCCATTAGACATAACAAACCAGCACAATTACTGCAATCTAATCATCAAACTGGAACTACAACTACTTCCTGCTTCCATGTCTAAAAATAATGGGAAATGTAGCCCTACTAGCCTATTTCTGTGGGCAGACCAAAGCAAGCTGACCGTTTATGGCTGCGTGTTTACAATGTTACAATGTCCGGTCTGAATCTAGCATAATAATATTAAATCGACAAACAAATAAACAAACGGTACAATTAGAATAAATTATTCAGTATATATGCTTCACAATGATAATGTGCTTTATAACTCACTGTATTGAAAATGTTTTTAACAAGACCTGTTCTTTGATCCTCAGTTCAATTCAGAACACTTTATTTGTCCTGAGAGGGGGTAAATCAAAAGGCATAAGGAGCAGCATTAAAAAAAAACAACAAACATAAAAGCATACATAAAGTGCTGCAGTTTAAAATATTCCAGCTCCTGTCCAATAATGTGCTCTGTGCTAGATGCTAAAGTGCTATGTGTATTAGAGGATTTTGACTCCCGTCTGATTGCACTCGACATAAAAAAATACCTGTCCTGTCCCATCCCGTCCCAGTCCCATAGTATAGTAAAAAAAACTTAATAAATAAAATATTGCACTGCACCTCTTCCAGACAGCTCCCACTTCCATCCTGCTCCTGTTCAGAGTGACTACCACTCCTGTCCTGTACCGCACCCATTTTGGAGGTCAGCTACATTAAAAATGGCTGCGTATCTGTCTGATATTTTCTTTTGCCTACTGGAAAATGAAAGGTAAATTTGACTCCCAGCCCGTGGGAATCCCCGATGATTCCCATGACCAGAAGGATTCATGAAAAAAATGTCATAAAATCAAAATCTAATATGTAAGTTAGTCAGTTGCAGTTAGGACAGGGAGGGGTCATTGTTCAGGAGCTTGACTGCTCTGGGGACAAAAGTGGCACTTTTCCGCTGTGTTTCAAAATGTGGATGTCGGCACCTGCGACGTCATGGGAGCCACTCGAACATTGAATGTAGTGTGAGTGAGGGGTCATGTTGCATCCAGTGAGACGAGTGGAAAAAAGTTTCAGGGTCGCAACAAGCAGACAGACTTCAAAACTGTGTTCATTAATTTTTGAGCAGACCTTGGTAATACGAAGTAGGCGAGTGATATTGCGCTTAACAGTTTGTAAAATACGATACGATGTGACTTCTGTGTGTTTTCCATCTTTCCTTTGGGGACCAGAATAGTTGTCGTACGGTGAATGTGATATCAAGTTTATTACATGCACATATTATAAACTTTTAGAGTGACAAACATAATCAGATCGGTATTGGTTGAGTCTTGAAGCTGCAGTATTGATATCTGTATTGGATGTGAAAAAGTGGCATTAAGCCATCTCTACTCATTATGCCCTGAGTAACCTTCTTACTCATCTGTCCTGGCGATATGTGATTTTTTTTTTTTTTTCCATCCACTGCCATCAAGGGAACCCATTTTGATTACATCGAGAACATCAAGATGGCTATGACAATGGGGCTGCGCAAAATCCTGTTCAAAATCTTCCAGGAGTGTTTGAACACGTGGGCAACAAGGCTGGGAAAGTACTTTGGTTCTCGGGGGATAACTTTTAAAATGACAACTTGTAGTTTTTAATTTGGATTACAAATATTTATTTTGAGACACCAGTCCTGGAAGATTTCTGGCAGAACAACGTATGAATTGATTGATTGAGGCCGTAAAGTCAGTATGTTGTGCCTAGTGACCATGTGCCACTGAAAAAAATCTTGTAATTTCCTAAAGACGGGCTTAATCACACAACAAAGAAGACTGTCTTGTCCAGGGAGCCTTCCCTCCCGAGCAGTCGGGCGCTCCCTTTTTTTATACTCTTCTTGGGAGGCGCTAAAGTGCAGATGATGCAGCACAGTCAGCACCTTGGACAGCGTCTTCTTCAGATAAAAGAATGAAGTCTGGCGCGTGAGCAACTTTGTTTATCTGCAAATAACATGGTCAGCATTTACAATGGTACAAACAGTTAGTTATAAGATATATTTTGGCACTTTTAGATGTCAAATTCCCATTACAAGACTTTTAGTGATGTTTAAAAGATTAAAGTCCCATGATATTTAAGGGGGTAGGGGTTGTACAGTAGCTTGTAGAGTTTGTGAGAATTTTCAATCTATACAGTACATCTGTATTTTAATACAGTATAATGCTTACGCTCCATTCTTTATCCACCTCATGGTTATGGATTCTGGTTACTGCTTGACCTGGAATTTTATCAACCTATATAGTTGACTTTGTGGCTGGTAAATGCAATGCTCTTCTTACAAAGACTTTCTGTTCTTACATAATCATTTTGAACTCAGCAAGGTCAAAGAGCATGAAGAGCATGCCATAAAACATTTTTTGTAAATACTGTATATACAAACTGTACAAAGGTCGTTTAGGTGATGACATAAACTGTTAAACTCAGACGCAGATACAGCATTGGTATTGTATGCCTTAGAAGCTGACAAGGGAGTGGATTTTTACTCCTGTCCCACAACACTCCCACAGAAAAAAAATCCCGTCCTGTACCAATACTGGAGCAAAGGGAAAAAAATCCTGTCCCGTCCCATCTCTGTGAAAATGACACCCATCCTGTCCTGCTCCCATTCAAAATGACTCCAACACCCATGCTGCTCACATTTTGGAGGTCAGCTACATTTTTTTCCCTACTGGATAATCTCACTCCCATTGGCTTCTGTGAATTTTTTTATCCTATACCCTCGTAATCCCATGATGAAAGCTAAACTTGACTCTCATCCCCCAAAAATTTCACCCTCTATTGTCTACTGTATGCAAAGCTGTAAAAAGATTAAAAAGAAGAACTTACACTAACTTTTAAATGAATCTCAATTAATGTTTCTCCACAGCCACTAAACTATAAGTGTGAAAACATCCCACACAACAGGAGATGGTCTCTCAGAGCATCACGTTTAATTGGATATTCTTTTAAATCCAACTTTACCAAAATAACACCCACATGGACCTAATTTGATTTTTCAGTGTTTTGCATTTCACTGACAAATGTTGACTCCTACGTTTCCAGTTGTAATATTACTTTTCTTTTCTCTAATAACACAGATCCCTTCCTGCAACGGTTTGATAACTTTCTTTAGGGAGCTTACAACCAAAAACATGTCACCAACCACCAGACTGTTCATGTGTGTGTGTATATATATATATATATATATTATTTTTTATCAGGCCAAGCAGCTTACCCACACTACATATGTCTCTGACCAATCAAACCTCACATTTGTTCGTCCTGGAGCAATAATAATAAAGAACATTTCACGCAAACACACCAAAATCGACTTTTGTAAGATATATTTTGCGCTTGGCACGCAGCAGCCACAGAACGATGAACCAAATTCCCAAACGACTGCATTGAGGCTCGTGTCGACGCAAAAATCAGGATACGCCTATTGTGTTGTATCTGAACCATTGAATTTTTTTTTTCAATATTTTGATGCAGACATACTCATAACTTCTGTACAACAATTTCTCTCTGTTGTTGTGGCAAGCTGATGAGGCTTTCCTCTTCAGCACATATTTCCACGAATACAATAT